GAAGCAAGGTTCTCGAGTGGCATCATCGTACCTGTAGGCGAAGTGTGGGGCGGCCTCCCACTACATGGAGTGACCAGCTGTTAAAATATAAAGGAAGTTGGAGGATGCAGGCTGCTCAGGACCCTGCTTTGTGGCATTACTTGGGGGAGGCTTATGTTCAGCAGTGGACTTGTGAAGGGCTGTAATGATGACGATGATGATGATGATGATTATAATTGACATACTTAATGTCACGATTACCTAAATGTTTAATAGATAAATTTTCCACTAATTCGACGACTTATTTGTTTCATTCGTGAATTTCAATATTGTATCATATTATTACAATAATACCACTTACACGTTGACCGGCAAGTGGAATCAGTGTCAAATGTGCGAAATGCCTAGTACTACAAACGCTAATCCGCTTGCTAACCGTGACTATTATGGCTAATCCTCCCAACAATTGGAAAGACATTTGTCAAACCGTAAACTGTTACGTGTTGTTGACGATAATTGCAATAAACTCTATAATGTTTTATTCGAACAATTTCATAACTTACCATAGTCGTTAACGAAATTTTTGCGTCGACCGATAGTGTTCAATATTTAGAATCACCGTATTATGCATTAATTTTAATTCATAAAAATGGTGATGTAAATATAATGTGATTTGAATGTGATATGATTAAAATAATCTCTAATGTCTTATGCTACTTTTGTGCATTTTTATAACTTATCGCAACTGATATTAAAATTAATGCAGTCGACCTGAATGTTTTGAATCAGCGTCTGTAAAATGAGAACTCCGACTCATACATATGTCCGTTGGAACAGGAAACAGTAAAGTGTTATCTGTATCAGTATTTCTGTTAATATTTACAAATTCTGCAGCTGTACCTGAAAACAAGGGAAAAATTACTTTCTATCTTATATATATATTATCTTATCTATATACATAATATAACAATATATGAAAAATTGTTTTCAATACATATAGCAATCGCTAGATTTTTAAATCGCTATACGTTTAGATAACACGATGGTTGCTACTTACAAACTGTGATCATAATATGACATCGACCTATTTATGCTGCAACTCAAGTGATGCCGAAACATTGCTAAACTTCTTGACACGCACTGACACACACACATATCTTTCTTCATCCTTTCTTTATCATTTTTTTTTAATAAAATAAGGCTCACAAACGAGCACACAGTAAGTGGGCTTTGTGTATGGTAAGTGGATGCTGTAGTCCGTAGACATCTACATCAATCTTTGATTAAGAATCAAAATGCAGATACGTTGTTACGCATCAGGACTGAGATGGATTGCCTCGTTCCCAGTATAAAGGACCTTCGGTTCTCTACTCTCGCCATACGCAACACAACGGCATTAAGCTGCTATATTCGCTGGTATCCTGTAAGAACGTGCCATTCGTGCTTCAACCATAATATAGCTGCAGTATGGCTCTACCACGTATAAAATATCAGCCAGCAAAATTTCTCTGCTAGACGTACACATATACACTTAGAGCCATATTGTTGATTTCAAAAGGTTTTAGATTTGCATCTAAAACCTTGCCTTGAGTTCGTGAGTGCATGTTCTTACTTCATACATGGGTTTGGCTTGTTTTTTGATTCACTTGAAATGTACGCAGCTCTTTCTTTGTTAGCCTAAGCTGCAGCCATAATACGCTGCAGCGTGGCTCTAGCACGTATGAAAGCACAACGTATCGTGAGCAGGATAGCGTGTCTATGGGGCAACTCAATTCCACCCTTAAAATCCAGATATATGTAAACAGTTGCCATGCAATCAGTAAAAGCCTCAAAGTGTGGCTTTAGTATTTCAAACTTAAAAAAAGGTGTATATACGAGATAGAGAATATACGAGATATTCCAAATTTTAGAATGGGATTTCCGATTGGGAAGTCTAAAGGGGAATACCCAATTCTGGCCATGAAACGCCCAACAATTTGCATTTGTTAAAAAAATACATCTTTTTTTGTAAATCGTGTATCCCAAAAAGATTGCAATATCTTTGCACAAAAAAAGTACCGAAAAGATAAAAATAAAATTAGGTAAATCCGGAAGTCATTAGTTTGTGGATAAAATTAAAAGTGTTGCCAATCACAAATCTCGTTAAAAATGTCGATTCTATTCTTTCAATCGATTCTTTATGGTGTCATTATTATAATGGTATTATTATATTTCGATAACTATTATGATATTATGATAATTAAACAAGCGAAGTGCTAGTTGATTTACCATGAACTCTTTATACCATATCAAAAACGCTACTGCAAAATTTAACTGTTATTCTTATCTGTTGTTAAAAATACATTTAAAATGGAATTTAAATAAATAAAACAAAACATATTTTAAAAGACGTGCAGAACTTAAAGCGAATCAAAGCTTATTCTTTTTTATGAAATTATAAATCTATCTATCAAATAAATATATTTATCGATTTTATGTCTGTTAATTGGCAACATCGAATCTGACAGCTAGGCCCATGTCATAACTATCAAAACTAAATAGTCACAAGTTGAAGTCCTTCGCATTTGTGTTATTTTGTTTGTTCTCTCGCGGATTTGTTATCTAAGCAACGGATAAGCTTTCTAAATGGACTCTGGATAATTCTTCTTACCCTATTGGCCACGGCCTGAAA